TAAAAACACAAAAAATTGTTATTAAATTATTACAGATTTTGATTTTTAATATTTTAAAATTAATCAGTGCAAAATATAATTTTTAACCTATTTTTTTTTTTTGTATTTTAAAGCTGATTTTGTAAAAGTTTATAATAAAAAAAAGTTGAATTTGTTACCTTAAATTTAAGCTCAACTTCAAGTTTGAAATTTACATTGTTAAATAGAAAATTTTATCAGAATAAAAATATAGTATTGTTAAGATTAATATTTGAAGGTAATGTCTTCGACTAGATACGATGTGTGATCATTTGACGTATCGTTAATCACCCTATTAATAGACATATAAAAGAACAATAAAATTAAATCTTTGCAAACATGTTTTCCATCGGCCCACTGCTGAGGAACTCCACGACAAGTCAGATATCCATATACTTATTACTCCATAATAAAATCTATTTAACTAATAATACACAATCAATGTTTAAAAATCATAAAAAAAAATAAACTACATGTATATTTATTTTAGTATATTGGCACATTATTACAATTATTTATTTTTAATTCTCTTTATTTGTATATTTACAATCTATATAATGCGTACAATTAGTAAATTTATTAATAGATATATTAATTGAAATGTTTGTATGATTTTTGTATTTCTTGATTTAGCCAATACCTAAATAGAATACCACAAGACCTTATTGGTTGTAGTTAACTATAATATAATATGAGACGTTTTGACAGATGAATATTAGAGAAAATTAAGGGTCTTAATATTTGCAGACGTTTTTACGTCAGTCTACGAGCATAATGTTTATCGTACTAAAAATAATGTTTGTACTCCAAATAATTAAACTTAACTATAAATAAAAATGTATACTTTTATTCTACTATGTAAATTGAATAAAATTTATATATAATATATATATATGTGAATATATCATAAGTTCATAAAAATATGATATAAATTTAAAAAACTAAAGTTGAAATTGTTAGTTTGTTTATAGAGATTTAAAATGATATACAAAAATAATAATGTAATATTCGTTTCATTAATGTTGATGTCGGTAAGTTATGTTAAATCATTTAAAACTGGTTATTATACAATCGGAAATAATATTGGACAACTAAAGTATTTAAAGTGTTCTTACTTGTTTAATGCCATATTAAATATGAAAGTACATAGGTTAAACATAAAAAATTCTAATTATCGTGTAAATTTGGCGGCAAAAAAGACAGAAAAATATGGAAGATCAGTTAGAAAACAAATGAGTACATTCTTTAACATAAAATATACTGAATTAGGATCTTTATGGCTACTTTATATGTACATGTCAGATTTAAAACATTTTGTATTTCAATTAAGTACATTAGAAAGAGACGATTACTTGTATATAAATGTGTTGAATACATTAAATTATGTAATAAAAAAATTAATTGAAGACACAAATAACTGTCCTCAAGGAAGCGGGTTTGTTATAAGTGATTCAACGATAGAGGAATATTTTAATAGTGAAGGTATGCCAAAGGTCTATTCATTGCAAAATCAGAAAAACAAAGAGCTTAAGAGTTTGATAAATGAAAATAATAATAGTCAGAAATTGTTATTCTCAAAAGTTAAAATACTTTCAAAAGATAATTTGTTCATACAGAAATTGTTGCAAATAAATATATTCAATCATTTAAAGAAAACATATAATGTTCAAGTCTTATGGGCTAATACTTTTCATAGATTAAATGACCTTTATAAAACATCTAAAAACTTTTTGTGGATTAATAATAATTTTCAAGATATCAAGAGATACTATTATGCTGTTTTTAGTTTTTTGAAAATTATTATGTTAAGGTTAACTTGGAAACATTTGTTGTACCTCAAATATCAAAGTATATCTAATTTTAAGGAACTCGTTGAAAAATGGAATGTTATTTTAAACATTTTTAAATCTACAATAAAATTGAAAGAAGATTTTATGATTGATACTCTGTGTGAAAAACTAGAATGGTACAACAAATATTTGGCAAATACTATTGAATCAACAGATATACAAACAATATTAAATTATCATAAAAAATATATTAATACATTAATAATTGATATAATAATGCCATTCTTGCAAACCCTTTGTAAAGACTTAGGCTGTGATGCGACAATTGAACTGATTCTCGACGGAAATGAATCACAACCGTTCAATTTCAATAATTTCCCATCAAAACCAAATCATGACATTAGCGATTATGATACAATCAATTATCATAGTATATCTTATGCATATAATTTTATAAATTATATTAACAATTTTTTGTTTGATCAAAGTGGAGACATTATTTATGCTTTCATTAATTATATTGAAGAAATAACTAAATTTACAACATTCGATGGTATTGATTTAAATATCAATATATAATAATAAATCATATATAAAATATAATAAATGCTCAATTTTTATTATAATAAAACATATAAAATTAGATGTATGTTTACTAAATTCATAAGAATGAATTTTCACAAAAGTTTAAAAATGACCACTCTTACCCTTTGAGTTTTAAACGATTAATTTTCATTGTTTATGCCTATTTGATCTACACGTAAAGTATTAAATAACTTTTGATTAATTGTTGCAATGATTATATAGGGATGAAAAAAATTATAAGGCAAAGATGTATATGTAAGAGGGTAAAAAAAGGTTTTTAGCATATCTCATTATAGGAAGAATAGATGGCTGTTTTGAATAATTACAATCGGAAAAAGAAGTTATGATCAATAGAGTACTAAAAATATTAATTATTACAAAAATAAATTTTGTGTAGAAACTTTTGTTTAAACAGATGTACAAAAAAGTTTTTAAAAAATTGAAAATATTTCAAGGACTAATTAAAACTGTAATGAATATAATACAAATTCACATTTTGTTAAACTTAAGTTTCTCGATAAAATATTGATGTGTGACAATTAGCACCATTTATCCTACAAAAAATGAAATGGTATAAATTTAAGTCCAGTTTTTTCACATACCAAGTCTATAGTTAGTGAATTAGATTATATATTATGTATAGGTATAAAATTGTCGTTAATAATTTTAAAATAATAAATTATTGTACTAATGAGATTATTATTTTATTTCAGTAGTAATAAATTTTTTAAATGTTTTAAAGGACATTTTTTTTTCAAAAATAATAATATTTAAATATTCTTATTAATAATATAATATAATATAATTCAATATATATTATTAGACATGACATTTTGGTAGAAAAACAATTTTAATTTACGGGCGTTAAAATAAAAACATCACCGCTAACTAGTCTTTTTTCTACTTAATTATTTTCATTTTCTATTTGGTTTTTGTCTCTGATAATTTCAAGCTGCTAAGATTAGTCGTCCATACTAGATCATCCATAGCTTAAATTTACATGAAAAATGTGACATTTTAATTTAATTAAAAACAACGTTGCGAGTGTGCACTGAAGAGAGAAAACGGATAATAGATTTTGACTTTTTTTTCAAAAGGCTCGACCATACCCTCTCCTTCGTAGGTCTAGCTAGTATCACATGTACTTAGTGCCAAAAGTTAAACAGCGTTGACTACATTAATTATATAATATTTCTAAATCTACTTTATAATACAAGAAAATACCCAAACAAACTAATTGATACTAATTTAACCGATTTAAAAATTAAATTCAGTATATCTAAGTGCATAAGGTCTTTAATGTATTAAATAAGTTAAATATCACATTTATATAGAAGAAATTGCGGTGCCTAGTACTTCCAAAAAAAAATATATAACATTGAACCCGATTTGAGCTTTATTTTGATAATTTTTAGACAAACTATTTTGATATAATCATTGTGACTTTTATCTATTTTGTTTGATAGTCAAACTGGTTTGCAAGGATAAAAATTGAAAAATGATTTTTTTCTTGTTTAAATTATATTATGATTTGAATTTGAACAGTTTTTAATAAATTAATAAATTAATTTAATTTGAATTGACTAAATTAATAAATAAAAGTGTGTGTAGGGTGNTACATTGATGTGGTCTGTTAAAAATTAAGGTTTCCGTAATATTGAGTTTTGTTAGTGATCTTGCAAGAAACTTTATTGTTGTAAATGTAGCCTTTTTGATGTCATATAGTTATAAATATTTTTAAAATAATAGAACACGAGTACTGATTTTTTTCTTAAAAAAAAAACACATAATTTTGGTATTACTTAAAAGCTTATCATAGTTTATTTGCTCATTAATGACATGATATATATTTTTTATATCACCTAAATTTCAAAATACTGTTTAAANTAATCATTTTGGTTCCATAAAAAAAATTAAATTTCTACTACTATCAATTATACTTAAAACTGGTATGAAATTAAAATTATCAAATGGCAACCCTATTTTTATACATTATTAGAGTTGATTCAATTANAATAAACAGTGTTTTTTATACTTGTTTAAACTTAAAATAAATAATTTTTTTTACATAGTTTTCTTTTTACTTATGACGTACAAGAATATATAAAAATAATACGTATTTGCAATTTAAAAATCAAGTTTGCATTAAGTTCAAATAAAAGTGATGATGATAACATTTTTATTTTTTCGTACAATTGACAACATAGATTCATTATAATTAAATAAAAAAATTTTTATAGCCTTATGAATTTTTAAGTTTTACGTTAAGCATAGATGGCGAATCATTCTATTCTGAGATGAATAATTTTCTCTAAAATTGTCGACAGCATAATAGAAACTCGTTTTAGCATTATTTACTGAGATCATCAATCTCTTCAATGGCCTTCAAAAAGTTCACACTGTCGATGATGTGATTATTCGTGTAGTCACATTACGTGCAAGTAACGGTCAAATTTATGAACGAGCAACGAATCGAGTTTACCCTCTTCCTAAGGGTATACAACCAGGAGAAACAACAACTTTAAAGTATTCAGATCGACACATCAATCAGCGGTGGGGGAGGGTGAATGTTAACAAAATTACTGTTGTATTCGGNTGGGGGAGGGTGAATATTAACAAAATTACTGTTGTATTCGGACGTGTCCATAAGATCATCGCACATTACATTCCTAATTACATTAATAGTAGTGGATAACAGTACTACCGGCCGATCAGCTGTTACACTCGTACACATCACACACACTATTATAGTTAGTATAAAGTATTTTTTTCGAGGTATTTAGTAAAATATTGTTTTGTTTAAATCATACTAAATACAATCAGTTCACAGTTGCCATAAAGGCTACGTTGTAAAAATCTAGTCGTTTAATTAGTCAACATTGACTTTCACTTTTTACTAAGCTGTGTTATTTGTAAATCTTTATTATATTTATTATTGAAAATTGTCTGTACTATCAACAAGAGGGACGGTGTGACCGAGTCGGTAACGCGGCAGTGTTTGACGCTCACTGCCTCGGGTTCGAAACTCGGTCACGGGCGGCTTCATTTGCAGAACGAGAGATTAGTTCGGTAATTGGAGTCACCATCTCTCTCTCCGGCGACAGACTAACCAACCGTCCCGGAGTATAAATGGGGTTGAGAAACCTCCTTCTTTGGGGGAGGCCGCGATAACCCTCAATGGGCGATAAGAGCGAAAAATAAAAATCAACAAGAGTGGTGTTCAAGATTGTAATTATTTCCTAATATCTGTTAGTTTTAAATTCTGTTTGTGTAAAAGAAATTCATTACCTTTATTTACATTTTATTGAGTCATTATGTAGTTTAGTTTTATTTAGTTTTTGTTTCAGATTGCTTGCCAGTTGTCTAAACATAAAATTGTAGATAATTGTAAGTACTTAAATTTTATAGATTAAATTTAACCCGAGTTTATTAATTAATTACCAGAGCTCTAATTTATTATACTAGTCAGCTAGTGACAGCACCTTTGACTGCCATAAGGGCGACAGTATATCTAAGGGATGGGGACTATTGGTGTCCACTAGTCATTTTATTTTACTTTTTACTTTTAATTAGTAGTTTGTGGTAACCTTTAAACATTTAGTCATTTATTTCAAATAGCCAATAAAAATAATGGATATTGTTGAATTTAGTGCTCTTAATTAAATTGTATTATAAAATGAATTTAGACTTAATGTTCTATTAGTGAATTTTTATAGTTTAATTCTATCTCTTAGTTACCATATTACAATTATTACTGTTGAATTTCTATAGAGTTTATTTTTGTTACAATTCATTGGAGTGTATTGATGTTGAGGCAAAAAGACTAAATTTATATTATTATTCATTGAAAATATTATCTATTTTATAATCACTATTTTAATGTATAGAATAAAGTTAAAAAGGTTTTTATTAAAATTTAGATAATCGACTATTTTCGATCCATGCAGAAGTATAAATTTTAATTCAAACACAATGCCTATAGCAAAACTTAACTATAAATAACATTTTAAACTTGCATTAATATTTATAGATGTAATAAATATATATATACTTAAATAATTTTGCCATAAAAAATAATATAAATTGAACAAAATCTAATACCTACTTTAGTTTAAAAACATTTTTGTATTTAATAAACTGTAATTGTAGTTCGTTAAAAAGATTTAAAATGTTTTGTAAAAATAAAAATTTCATCTCCGTTGCAATAATATTAATGTCGGTAAGTTGTGTTACATCACTTATAACTGGATATAATAAATTTGTAAGTAATAATTGTAATCTAGATCAACTACAATTATTAAAGTGTTCTTATTTGTTTAATGCAATATTTAACATGAAAGTACATCAGATGAACTTAGTAAATCATAATAGAAAATGGGTGGAATATGAAATATTTAATAATGATATTACTCTAAAAAAAATAATAACTTCATTATTTAACATAAAAAATTTTGAAATAGGATCTTTATGGCTACTCAATCTATATTTGATAGATTTACAAAATATGGTGCAAAAATTAAATGAAGACGATTATAATAATGTTTTGAATACATTTAATTATGTATTTCAAAAATTAATTGAGGACGCTAAAGATTGTCCTGAAGAAAGCGAGTTTTTTATAAGTGATTCGACGATAACAGAATATATAGATAAAGGTGGTATGGACAGTCTTAGTTCATTGCAAAATGAAATAACCAAAGATGTTCTAAAATTTATTAACAGAAATTATAATGAATTGCCATGGTCTAGTCTAAAACTAAAAATATTAACAAAATCTATATTGTTCATGAGAAATTTAATGGAACCAACAACTATTGAGCGTATGATGAAAACATATAATGTTCAAGTCTCTTGGGGTGCTACTCGTACCAATATAGATAAATTTTATGAAGAAACTAATAACTTATTATGGAGATCAAATAAATTCCATCCTCACAAGATATACTTTAATGCTGTTTTTAGTTTTTTGAAAATCATCATGTTAAGATTAACTTGGAAACATTTGTTGTACCTCAAACATCAACAAGAAAGTAATATTACTTTTCTTCTTGTTAAATGGATTTTTATTTTAAATAATTTTTCATATACATTACATTTGAAAAATGACCTTGTAATTGGTACAGTGACTCAAAAACTAAACAATTATAAAGAACAGAACACAAATACTAATGAATATATAGAAATGTTAATAAGAAGTATAAAATTATTCTTGAAAAGTCTTTGTGAAGGCTTAGGCTGTGATGCGACTTCAAGTCCAATCCTCAATGGAAATGAATCAAATCCGTTCAATAATGACAAATTTAAATCAAAACCAGATCATGACATTTACAGTTTTTCAACCATCAATTATTACAGTATAGCGTATGGACATGATTTTATAAATTATATCAGTTACAATTTTTATGAAAATAGTAGGGATACTATTTTTGCTTTTATTAATTATATTGAAGAAATGACTAAATTTAATCCATTCGGTGGTATTTAGATATCTAAATAAGGTTAGAAATTATAAAGAGTAATTTAAAAACTATCAAGAATTTTTTATGCCATATCTAAAAAAATAATTTGCAAGAATTTATTTTTCTTTCTTAAAATAACTAATTAAATTTCATTTATATAAATTTAACTAACTATTATGAAGAAATAATAAANAGTATTTGCCAGTTGTCTAAACATAAAATTGTAGATAATTGTAAGTACTTAAATTTTATAGATTGAATTTAACCTGAGTTTATTAATTAATTACCAGAGCTCTAATTTATTATACTAGTCAGCCAATGACAGCACCTTTGACGGCCATAAGGGTGACAGTATATCTAAGGGATGGGGACTATTGGTGTCCACTAGTCATTTTATTTTACTTTTTACTTCTAATTAGTAGTTTGTGGTAACTTTTAAAAATCTAGTCATTTATTTCAAATAGCTAATAAAAAATATGGATATTGTTGAATTTAGTGCTTTTAATTAAATTGTATAAGAAAATTAATTTAGACTTAATGTTCTATTAGTGGATTTTTGTAGTTTAATTCTATCTCTTAGTTACCATATTACAATTATTACTGTTGAATTTCTATAGAGTTTATTTTTGTTACAATTCATTGGAGTGTATTGATGTTGAGGCAAAAAGACTAAATTTATATTATTATTCATTGAAAATATTATCTATTTTATAATCACTATTTTAATGTATAGAATAAAGTTAAAAAGGTTTTTATTAAAATTTAGATAATCGACTATTTTCGATCCATGCAGAAGTATAAATTTTAATTCAAACACAATGCCTATAGCAAAACTTAACTATAAATAACATTTTAAACTTGCATTAATATTTATAGATGTAATAAATATATATATACTTAAATAATTTTGCCATAAAAAATAATATAAATTGAACAAAATCTAATACCTACTTTAGTTTAAAAACATTTTTGTATTTAATAAACTGTAATTGTAGTTCGTTAAAAAGATTTAAAATGTTTTGTAAAAATAAAAATTTCATCTCCGTTGCAATAATATTAATGTCGGTAAGTTGTGTTACATCACTTATAACTGGATATAATAAATTTGTAAGTAATAATTGTAATATCGATCAACTACAATTATTAAAGTGTTCTTATTTGTTTAATGCAATATTTAACATGAAAGTACATCAGATAAACTTAGTACATCATAATAGAAAATGGGTGGAATATGAAATATTTAATAATGATATTACTCTAAAAAAAATAATAACTTCATTATTTAACATAAAAAATTTTGAAATAGGATCTTTATGGCTACTCAATCTATATTTGATAGATTTACAAAATATGGTGCAAAAATTAAATGAAGACGATTATAATAATGTTTTGAATACATTTAATTATGTATTTCAAAAATTAATTGAGGACGCTAAAGATTGTCCTGAAGAAAGCGAGTTTTTTATAAGTGATTCGACGATAACAGAATATATAGATAAAGGTGGTATGGACAGTCTTAGTTCATTGCAAAATGAAATAACCAAAGATGTTCTAAAATTTATTAACAGAAATTATAATGAATTGCCATGGTCTAGTCTAAAACTAAAAATATTAACAAAATCTATATTGTTCATGAGAAATTTAATGGAACCAACAACTATTGAGCGTATGATGAAAACATATAATGTTCAAGTCTCTTGGGGTGCTACTCGTACCAATATAGATAAATTTTATGAAGAAACTAATAACTTATTATGGAGATCAAATAAATTCCATCCTCACAAGATATACTTTAATGCTGTTTTTAGTTTTTTGAAAATCATCATGTTAAGATTAACTTGGAAACATTTGTTGTACCTCCAACATCAACAAGAAAGTAATATTACTTTTCTTCTTGTTAAATGGATTTNCCAACATCAACAAGAAAGTAATATTACTTTTCTTCTTGTTAAATGGATTTTTATTTTACAACAATTTACAGTCACATTACATTTGAAAAATGACCTTGTAATTGATACAGTGACTCAAAAACTAAACAATTATAAAGAACATAACACAAATACTAATGAATATATAGAAATGTTAATAAGAAGTATAAAATTATTCTTGAAAAGTCTTTGTGAAGGGTTAGGCTGTGATGCGACTTCAAATCCAATCCTCAATGGAAATGAATCAAATCCGTTCAATAATGACAAATTTAAATCACAACCAGATCATGACATTAACAGTTTTTTAACCATCAATTATTACAGTATAGCGTATGGACATGATTTTATAAATTATATCAGTTACATTTTTTATGAAGATAGTAGGGATACTATTTTTGCTTTTATTAATTATATTGAAGAAATGACTAAATTTAATCCATTCGGTGGTATTTAGATATCTAAATAAGGTTAGAAATTATAAAGAGTAATTTAAAAACTATCAAGAATTTTTTATGCCATATCTAAAAAAATAATTTGCAAGAATTTATTTTTCTTTCTTAAAATAACTAATTAAATTTCATTTATATAAATTTAACTAACTATTATGAAGAAATAATAAATTTAAAACATTCCTAAATTATCAATTTTTATTTTATNTACGTAAACGTATCATGCACGAGGTATAGCTGTGTTTTGTTGGCGGGCGGGGCGCGAGGCATATATGGCGGCAGCGGCGTCGGCTGTAGGGATATATAAATGAATATTAACATATACGTATATATAAATAATAATATATATATGTATATATATATTAATATTAGCGGCGATGGTAAGAATATATAATCTTCGCATAATATCGTGGCACATTCGTTGGCGTCGACGACGCGATGTCCGGCGTGATCCTCGGGCGTCAAAAGGTTAGCAGCGTTGATGGCGACGGTGCGCGAGTGGAGATCGGTTTATTCACTTTGACAACAGGAAGAATACTACGGTATCATTAGCGGCGGTACGTCGTCGGCCGTGCGGCACTTGCTGGACTTTGCACCGCGGCGTATAACGCGCGCTGTTGGTCAGTCAAATACTCAAAATTATACAGAAAAAAATTATACAGAAAAATAGTGTAGTCGCCGACTGGTGAGCGGGGTGGGGTGAATGCGTTACGACGGTCTAGTCTCAAGGTCATAGACGACGGGATACGCGACATAATAACACGTGCCGCGTGGAGTTACAAACTTACAACATACAAACAATATACAAACAACATACATGTGAAACTAATATAAGCGTGTTAAAAATGAAAATAAATATCCCAAACAATACAACAATCCATAAAAGCTTTAAAATATTCGCAAATAATTGGTAATACTCAGTATTATTNATTCGCAAATAATTGATAATACTCAGTATTATCGCAAAAACTTTTTCGTCTAATAGACAGTGCCGAAAAGTTCCATTGCCAATGTGTTATCTTTAATGTAATATAATAAACATAGTATCTCCTTTTTCTTTTGCTAAATAATGATTTTTTATAAAAATATATAAGTTGGAATTTACTTTTTTTTTTTTAAATATCAAGTTTATTGTTAGAAAAAATTATTCTTAAAGTAGGTTTTAAAAGTAACTTTTGGATTTTAAATGGGAATATATTATTTTAGCTTCGATGCGAAGCTGAGAAGGTATTAATTT